GAGCCCCGTCGTTGGATATGCCGCGCGACACCGCGATCTAGACACCGTAGCGTTCCACTGCGCACACCAGTGCGTAATTGCATTGTGAAAGTATCACAAAGCGATTCTCGTCGGCTCTGTGGAAACGCGTCGTCGCTCGATCCAGCGGCCTGCCGCGCCACAGACCTCTGGAAATAGTGAAAGTAGTGCAACTACCTGGCTCGTCCTTTGAAAACCACTTGCGCCTATGTACCTTTGCTCATACGCGCTCGGTTTTTTGTCCCAGTATCGAGTTACGTTTCCGATAGCGATCCAACTCCACTCTTTCCTCCGTTACGTTCGATTCTTTGGTAGAAACAACCGCGTCGTTAAACCTATTTGCTGCCCACGGAAATTCTGAAATCAAAACGACGAACGAATGGTATATGATATACGATGATCTATACGTAGTTACACGTATGAGTAGCGTGGCCGCAATCCGTAAGCCAAAATGCGTAGCCAGGATGTGAAATTTTGGGTCGGTAAGTGGGTGCCGACTGACGACAGGCCGATTCGAATCTCGGTTTACGTTTGCAACAAGGGTGACAGGTCTTCCTGCTCCTGCACTAATCTCGCCGCTCATCTAGGATCTAGAGTTACCTGGGTGTATAGTTTGCCGCATCGGCCGTGCACGCTCATCGTCCACGGTTACTACTATATATCGCGTTATTCGCAAGGTCACATTTTCCATCTGTTTCGTAGCAGTGGATGGCCGATAATGTATCGCGAGTACGATATCGTATCTATATTTAAAGCTTCGGGCAGAATCGATTTCGCAAGCGGAGCTCCTTTCGTTAAACTTGACACAGCGATATTTTTCGTAACAAATTACAAGTTACTCGCCACACGTGTAACTTCGCTACCGGAATCGTTAATGAGTCCGCTGATTTCCATACTTTCGACCGTTCGAATTGATTCCTCGCGCAGACGGTGGAATTAATAATAGCGTGCGTTGAATTAATAAACCGCTTGATTAAGCTCCAGCCACGATACGTGGACTTTCGTCTGCCGCGGCCAACATATTAGTCACGATACTATCTCGAAATCGGTATAATACCGTTCGGAATTCTTACGAATGGCATAAGAAAAGTACTTCCTTGGAAGATGGTACCTCGCCTCGCGTATCAAATTTCAGTCGCGCAATATCCAGATAAATACACCGCGGGCTCGCTCGGCGTTATTAATTTCGCAATAAAAACTAAAGTACCGGCAGGACACGGTCTTGCGCAATTTCATTTACATAGGATTTTTATTTCTGTGTCCGGCGGGGACGCTGCGTAAATTCTTATACGCGCTTCAGCAGCCGTTCTTTTGGGCGGGCTGCGTAAGAAAATCATTGAAATTACCCGAAAGAAATTGACTGCGCGAGAGTCGCGTTGAATCGCGATCAACCATAACCGGCAACACCTGTGTCATAACGATAATGATAATTAGCAACGCTTTAGTACGTACGTAGTTGCGAAACGTTTCTCGAATATCGCGACGCTGGAGGGTGAACGGTCTTCCGACCTACTTATCTATCAGACATTTTAGCAAGAATAAAACTTATCGACCGTTTAAACTTAGAGACACCGAGACAACCGAGCTAGAATCGTTGCAAATTTATGACGGGCTTATCGAAAGAATTTATCGTTAATCGTTATTGCTGAAACGTTCAAAGTCGTTTTGATCGATAAGTAGATGACGCTACTTTTGCCCCAGTTACACGACGTTTCTGCCAAAGGGAAAAACTTATCGCGTTCACAGCTTTGCATAAATTACCACGTAGATTCTTGCACGAAGCTTCGAGAAATTTATCACGATGTTATCGTTATCACGGTGATTCGTTTCTTTCCCCATTTTTATCGATAAGTAGATTTTAATCGGCGATTTTCATCGTTGGCTGATGGCGTTCGTCACCACGTCCGGCTTAACGTTTAACGTTTAACCTCGCAGAAGGCACCCTTAGTAGTAGGGGAGAGAGAGAATTTTCTCGGCTCATGAATTTTTCCGCGCTACGG